GTAGCCAGGCCACCAGGCTTCTAATTTTAATCTACATTGCGTTTGCATTATGCCACAATGTATATCATCATGGATCGATTTGATGAAGATCTTTCTCATTGTCTTAGGAGGTACAATGAGGTCACCATTACACACAATTCCTTTTTCGATAGTCAGTTTATTCCTAATAGATTTATAGGGTCTTTCTGTTATCGAGCATCTGCTCCAATTATTCTTCCTAATTCTGGTTTTGATGTCCATCAATACCCTATCATTTTCTGTTTCTTTTATTATTTGCTCAAGGTTCACTATATCTGACTCGACTAAGTGTATAAATGTTTCTTGGTCTTTCTCTTCATCTTGTGGTAGAAAGGACAATCTCGATAATGCGTCAGCATGAGGAATGTTTTCTCCCTTCTTGTAGCTTATTTCGTAGTCAAATGCCATCATTTGTATGGCTCATCTTAAAATTCTAGCGGATGTGATTTTGGGCAATTCTTTGTTACTATCAAATATAAATTCTAATGGCCTGTGATCTGATATTAATTTGAATTTTCTACCCAACAGAAAATGCCTAGCTCTGTGAGCAGACCATACAATAGCTAAAGCTTCTCTCTCAATATTAGAATATCTTGTCTCAGCGTCTGATAAAGTTCGTGAGAGATACAATACCGGATGGCCATTCTGTGAAAGTATTCCAGATATAGCTTTCTCGCTAGCATCTGTTGTTAACTCTAGATCTTGGTTGATGTCATAAACCTTCACTACGGGTTCTTCACAAAGGTTTCTTTTTAGCAATTCAAATGCCTGTTGATGCTCCTTCCTCCATTCAAATGTAACTCCTTTCTTTCTTAAATTGTTTAAAGGTAAAATTTTTTCAGCATATTTATCAATGTGTCGACCATAAAAGTTTATTAATCCTATAAATGACTCGAGTTCCTTTTTATTATTAGGAGGACTTATTCCAAGTATTTTGCTGACTAAATTACGATCTGGGGTAACTCCTTTTTCTGACAGTTCATATCCTAAAAATGAAAGACTTTTTGTTTCATTCACTAACTTTCGTTTATTTATGCTCATTCCCGATTCCTTCAATTTGCTCAATATTTTGTTTAAATTCGATTTGAGTTCTTCAGCATTTTTAGCACCGACACATATATCGTCTTGAAATATAATCATATTGGGAATAATATCGCCAACAACAGATTCTATCGCTCTTTGAAATATCGCACTTGCAGTCTTAATTCCGAAAGGTAAACAGGTCCATCTTAATAATCCAATAGGGGTATTAACTGTTGTTATTTCTTGTGCCTCTTTGTCCATCTCAATTTGATGATGAGCTCCCTTGAGATCAATTTTAGCAAAATATTTCATCCCTGCCATTTTAGGAAATACGGTCTCAATGTTTGGGATGGGATATGAGTCTGAGCATATTTTTTGGTTAACACCTATTTTGTAATCCGCACAAATGCGTAAATCTCCGTCTGTTTTTCTAACAACCACAAGCGGTGAAGCCCATCTGCTTCCACCAGGAGGAACCCTTTGAGGCAACCCTTGCTGTATCATTCCATTAAGTTTATCTACCACTAGTGGTCTTATATGGATAGGAAGAGGTCGAGCTTCAAAATAAGTTGGTTGTACGCCGTTTTTCAACAGAATATTTGCTTTGTAATTAATTAAACGCCCATGAACAAGAGGTTCTATACTATTTACTAATTTTGTGGCGTTGATATTTAATACATCCATACTAATTAGACCATGATTTTTTGTACAGTCTGCAACAATAATTCGTACGATATTCATTTTTGATTCGGTTTCCAAAGTTGCCTCAAATTCGCCTAGGACTTTTATAACTGTGCCATCAAACTGTTTCAGGCGAAGGTAGCATTTTTGTAATTTCGGTTTAGACATTAGTTCCCAAAAATTTTTTGGAATAATTGTGACTTGACTTCCGGTGTCAACTTGAATTTTTATATTGTAGTCATTAATTTTTACACTAATCTCTGAGTTTGTATCATTCATGTTAATGGAATACACACTAGCATCATCGTTCTCTATTTCCTCTACTATTTTTTCATATTTAGTGTTTGCTTTGCATACGTTTTTAAAGTGGTTCAGCTTTCCACATTTTTTACAACTCTTCCCAAATGCTGGGCATTTCCTTGGTGGGTGTTGAAGGCCACAATACTTGCATTTAATCATTCTTTCTTTATTTTTATCAATGTAATTAACTGAAGGAAGGTCTATGCTGTTTTCGATGTTGTTTTGTATACTAAAACAGGATATTTGCTCCAGTTGCCTGATAAAATCAATACATGCTCCTAGTTTAGGCGATTCTCCACTCTGTATCATTTCTAGAGCTTTAACTCTCTGATCAGAAGATTGGAGACCATCAATCAATCTCATTTGAATCAAATCATCTTCCGCACTTTGGCCATCTCTTCCCAATTTTTCGAAGTTGCAAAAGCGTGAAGCTTCGCGTAATCTTTGTGCATATGATACGATGTTTTCATTGTTTTGCTGTTTTAATGCTAAAAATCAAACTCTTTCAGCAATAATTAGTCGTTTTAGAGGTCTCAAATGGGACATAACAACAGTTTTAATATCATCGAACATCATATTTTTTAATTCTTCTGGATATACCATAAGAGAAATCTTTTTAACTGCTTCAATCCCTGCTTTTGCCATAAATAAATCTGTTATCTCGTAGCTACCGTTTATCTCATCTTTTAATTTCTTTGAACGTGCGGAAGCTGAAAAGCGTCTAATCCATGCTTCTGCATTATCTGGGTCATCTAAAGTCAAATCGTCCCTTACTCGTAGCGCTATTGTTGTGTCGTTATTAAAACACTGTACTACACTTAAATATATATATTCTTATAAGTAAGCCATCTTTAATATACATTTTTATAGCCACGTATGTTTATATATATCAAAACATTGTTCCTATTTGTCCGCATATGATTCACGGCTTCACAGTAACAAAGACTTCCATTGACTTCCAAAAATTTTCATACTTTGTTCATACTATTTTTTATCCAATACCCTCATACACATCAACATATCATTATTAAAGTTGTCTTTTGAGTTTAAAAACCTACCTTTAGAAACCTAAATGAGAGTGTAAGAATTTAGCCATTCTTTTAGAGGAATAAATAAAAGAAAAGTACTCAAATAAATTTTTTGTTTTTGATGGATATAAATCTGCTTTAAATACAAAAATTTGAGCAGTTATTCTCAATTGTATTAAATACACAGGAGGGAGTTTATTAATTTTCGGAAAATTTCTCCACCCACCCTGAGCTTATTAAAACCCATTACCCAGTTTATTATTTTTTACTTGTTATCAAAAAAGAAGCTGTATCTAGAAGTTAAAAAGTTTTAGTGTAAACTGGCTCTAAAAATTATAAAATTAAAAAATATTAACTTAAATTATTAACTTGAAAATTTAAAAATATTAACTTGCTGTTAAAAACAAGAGTTTCTACCTGCCAGTTTATTAAGATTCTCCATTATTATATTTGTGTCCCACCTTTTATTAAGCATCTGGAAATAAAGCTCATCTATTTTTGACATGGACTTTATAGTTTTGTACTTAACCTTTTACACTTAGAAAATATAAAATTACCTTTTACACTTAAAAAATATAAAATTACTTAGAAATAAAAATAAAAAGTAAATATATGCAGGGGAGAGTGGTGTACCTTGGAGGTGTGTGTACCTTGGAGGCATGTCAGTTGTGTTGCCATCTTGAGTGATGAATTCAAATTGAAATTTTAGTTGCTTGTATTGGCCACTAAAGGCTCATAATAAGTTGTTTTAGTATGGCTCAACACATTTGTGGAAATAAAAATAAAAGTTTGTTTATGGCACCAAAAAGTTCTTTTTTTCTGCAACTGTTGGTATAAATTTTATTTTAAAACAGATTATCAAAAATTGTAAAGGATGTTTTTAACTGCATTTATGCATGCTTGAAACTGCTTAACTCTTAACCTATAAACATGGTAGTGATTTTGTAAAAAATGTGGTATCGGTGTACCTTGGAGGTAGGTACACCGATACCACAGGTATCAATGTACCTACTCCAAGGTACACCTATCGGTGTAGGAGGTAGGTACCACTAAGGTACAAACTTGCATGAGTTTGTTAATACTACTATAAGTAAAATTTTTATGAAAGTATTTTTTTAATGTAATATGTTGTTATAGTTTATAATTTTTTCTGTTTTTTTAAGAATTTCTTTAGTAAAATATGTGTGTGTTTCTTTGTTAAATTGTGATTGTTTTCCTTAAATTGTTATCTTTTCTTTGATAATTTTTTTTGAATTATCAAAGAGATTATAAAACTGTGCATGTGTTAGACAAATCAGATATGGTCTTTTATTTGCCACATCCCTCTATTACAGGAGGTTCAGCTTGACAGCTGGAAAAACTTATTTGGTATTAACTTTAACTACGTGAACGTAGAGTAAATAAATCAAAGTTAAATACTTATTATTACTAAAATTTAATGTAGATATTTGTTATTACTCTTATCTTTATCAACTTTATTTCTTTTGTAAGTTTTTAAAACTTTTATGTATAAATTAGTTTAAATTTTGTAATTTCAACAAATTAATATATAGTTTATATAAATCAAGCTAGTTAGATTAGCATTATCTCTGATGTGAAGTCCAATTATCCTATAAGTAAAGATTATATCAAATTTCTACCACGTTGTGTACTTAATCTGTTAAAACAATAACACCTCCAAGGTACACCACCGGTGGTATACCTTGGCTGTTGTGTAAGCTATTTTTTAAAATCAAAAAAAGGGATGAAAAAATGTCTAAATGTTTAATAAAAAGTCCTAGAGTGACTAATATCAGTTAAAGAAAATATATTGTTGCAGAACATATTGTAAGTATTTTTTTTTATATATTTGTAAAAGTTTGAAAATACCTCCGAGGTACACCACTCTCCCCTATATGTTTTTATGTATATGTAAAATATATTTCTAATGAGTGTAAATATTTATCTTAGATTCAACTGCCACTATACTCGCTTCATTAAAAAAAATTTCAGATGTGACATGTTTAAGTTTTCCTGAAAAGAAATCTACTGATAATAATTGGATTCAATTTTTTCGAGGACAAGGGTAAGTATATTATACTTTAAGTCAATTGATTTAGAGACTAATGATGTCAAATATCCAAAATATCTCCAAAAATAAAATATTGAAACATGATGGGGTAGTAGAAGTGTGTACTTATATGATGAGTCATTTTCCTGCTTTGTTTTAATTTAGAGGTTTTTTTGAAAAAATTGTGGCATACTTTAATCTTACTTGAAACTTGGTCTTTTTTCATTTGAATTTATTAATTGTGCTTTAATTAGAAATTAAAGACATTAGGATATCCAATTTCCTACTGTCTTTAATTAGAAATCAAAAGCAGTAGGACATTGGTTTGTTATTAATTGCAATAAAAAAAAAAAAAGCTGTTGCTGTTTTTTTTTTATTGCAATTAATTAATTGCAATAAAAAAAAAAAAAAGCTGTTACTGTTTTTTTTTTTTATTGCAATTAATTTTTTAGTCGTATTGAACATCCTAAATTTTAAATGTTTTGTTTACAGCCATATGATTTTTTTTACTATTTTTATGTTATTTTTAATCACATTTATGTTAATTTATTGAAACTTATGTTATCTATAATTATATTTGCTGACATAACTGTATAACTGCTGTATAACTGATAACCATATTTAATGAATATAGTTGTCACTATATTTATTAAACATGGTTAAATCTATTTGTAAATTTTCAGATGTTATTCTGGCATTGGTCGAAAGTATTGGTCACAGAAAGAAACAGGGATATCATTAGGCCAAAACTGTGTGCACCCATCAATTATTGTTCATGAAGTATTGCATGCTGCAGGTAAATATATTTAAAATAAATCACATTTAAATAAATGTTTTTTATTATTTTTTTAACACAGGTTTAACATGAAACATCAATGGTAATATCATATTAAATATGGACTAAGGGTTTTTATTTGTTATGACTGAGGATTTTTATTACATAGGCTAACAAATTTTTTTTTGTTTTAGTTGCTGAGCAAACAAAACTATCCCTAATATTGTCAAAAAAAGTTATTAAAAAGTATGTCAGCCTGGGTCTAAAAAGAAGCATATTCATTACAATTTTAAAAATCATATTTCTGTTTTATAAATGAACACTTTTTACATTATTGCTAAAAAAGATTTTGTCTTTTGAGAGTCTTTTTTTTTTAATAAATTTTTAGTAAAAACACTTTTGTTTCCTAAAATCTATATAAAAATACACTTCTTGTGAGACCCAGGTTGCCATAGTTTTTGACAATATTAGGAATTTTATCCCAAATGCTAAAGATTTGAACCTAAATATCTTTACAACTTGATGTGATGGAGAAAAATAAGTTGCATATGGGCAATCCATATGAAAACATCCAAATAGTGCAACCCTTAGAAACAAATATTTTGCTGATTTTTACACCACTCAAAGATTTTAATAAGTTATAAACATCCCCAAAATTTCATCATCTAGTTCCATATGGTTTTAAAGATATAACTATTTCAACTTTGCCATGAACCAACAAAAATCTGCTATTTTATAAAATCATTCTGGTCTTTGTTTCTGTTCTTTGTGCAAAAAAAAGCTGAAACTGTATCTCAAAACTATAAAAAAAAATCTCAGTTTTATTTTCTTTTTTTTGAGACCGCTCTTTTATATTAAAAATTAAAAAATTTAAAATCACTTAAAGATAAAAATAAAAACTCCTTCCCTCATGTTTATTAATACACCCTTCCCCCCCCCCCCCCTCTCTTCCTATTTCATTTCCCCTAATTTATTAGATCTCTCCACCAGTATTCTTAAAAATTATGCTGCAGATTTAAGTTTGAAGATTCAAATAGAAAATAAGCTTCTATTTATTTGCGTAAAGCATTATCTTCTAGAAATGATATTTCATAATGACAAAAAAAAACAACAACATTAAAATTCCTATACAAACAAAATCTGCATCAGTCATTATTGGAAAAAGAGATCCTTCAATATTTACAATAGTGCTATTATTTTTAAGCCTATATATACATAATTCAAAGAGTTCTTAAATTGTATTAGCAAGTTGAAGATTTGTGACAATCAACACATGTCTTTGATATGAAATATTTGATGACAGTCTTTCACCATTAGTTTATATTCTTGGCTTATTCCAGATGATCATTCAACATATAAAAATACAAAATGTCTATGTAACATCAAATCGCATTAAATCTTTTATCTGTTGTTACTTTTAGTCTATCATTAGATTTTTCTGGTACTAGCCTGTTTTGCAGATCAGGACTGAGTAATTATTAGTAACACTAGGGTTACCATCTTTGGTTTACAAGCTTCTTTTGAATTATATATACAACCCTCGAAATAAGGGTCGTCATTCGGCAATGTTGACCTAACTGCCTATGTAAATGTGTTTGAGGTTGGCAAAAAATTGTCGACCTTGTTTCTATGTTTTATTGTAAGACCTTTGTATTAAATTTTTTTGCCATATATTTGAAAAAATATATATTTAAACTTGTGTTTACGAAAAAGCTTTTAACAAATCCATAAAAAAAAAATCTTAAATTTATATATCTTTAAAACAAATTTATTTTAAAATATATAAATGCTTTATATAAACATTTAAAATATTTGTATATATAATATATAAATATTTTAAAATATGTTATTTTAAAATATTAAATATTTAGTAAAACAAAAACAACATACAAATAAAGCACAATATTTTTCAATTGTATTCAAAAGTAATTAACATTGAAGACAGCACAATTTTTGTAATGAATGTTTTCAAAATCAGTTATAACAGTTATAACAGCATCTACAGGACTGAGGAGGTCTAAAGGCCCACAGCCTATTATAACAGCGGCCATCTACAAGACTAGCACAGCCTGTTATAAAAAAAGCATTTTATAATAGTTAAAAATATTTATTAGTGATGATTTAGCATGTATTAAAGAAATTATGTAACTCCATAGAAGTGGGAAATTATTAATTAAAAAAAAATTAAAAACATTCAAATTAAATTACTTTATCATGAAAACATTTTGGCAACAAAATCAATTTTGAAATCAATTTCTTTAATGAAAAAGCAACTATAATCTCATTCAAAGATCAAAGTTATTAATAACACTTTAAAATAAAAAAAAATAATTTGAGATTTAAGCAATTGGATTATAGTAATATCAAATGTTATCTTAGCTTTTATTATTTAGATTTGAAGCAATTAGGTAGATTAATGAAACTAACTATAATCATTTTCAGGTGCGCCAAGCTGTCTATTAACACAAAATATTACAACAAAGTACATCACAACAATTCCGCAGAGCAATAGCAAAAATCAAAACATAATTGTATAACCACAATACATTATGTTCACAATACATTATAATCACTAAATATTAACATGCATGTGTTTTCTATATAATTATGAAAAATTAGACAACAGAACCTAGATATACAACAGTTTTGCTATCCACCTGCTGTCACACCTCTGCTAAGTACACCGCTTGGCTGGCAAGGGTGGCAATCTTTCGCTACACCATTTTATTTTTTATTTTTAAATAAAATTTTAGTTGTAAAGAGAAGCTGACTAGTAATAGTTTAGTTTTACACACACTGCAACACTTGCTTGGCTAGTTTATCAGCCTTTGCATGGTTGGCTATTGATTATAACACTAATAACTATTTAAAATCTATGTAAAACAATAATCATTTATAAATTAAGTTTATTAGTAAATAAAACATTTTTATATAACATTTATTAAATCATTCAAAAAAAGTTTTTTTTTCCAACTTTTAGAATTTTGTATGGAATTTTTGGTTAGATGGTTTATGCAATTTGGCAAAAAATTAAGTTTTGAATAAATAAAAAGTACAATTTAAATATTAATCATTAAAGTCATAATGTATACAACTTATGATTGCAAAAAATTTTTCTGACCTGATTTCTGACAATGAATTTATATAAAATACATACAACTTGTTATGGCAAAGTATGAATTTTTTGAAATTAAGAACATTAGAAAATCATTGTTTTTATAATATTTTTCAACTACCAAACCTTGAATGGAATGTTTATCAATTTTGAAAAACAAACTATTAAATGCCCTAGTTTTTGAACATGCAACATATAGTTGCCCATGAGAGAAACAGAGTTTTTTTTAGATATACACCAAATTTATCAAATATTTTACCTTGACTTATTTGCAAAATGAAGTAAAATATTAACATGTGGCAAACCAAACTTTTAAAATTCAATAACCTTAACATGATTTACATCACTAAATCACCATGCTTGAAAATTATTATTATAAAATATTATTATTATAAAATATATTATAAAATATTTATAGTAATTGTAGTAAAGTCAAGTCTATAATTTGCATAGTCTTAGATATAAATTTTCAGTAATCTTGCGCCATTTGTGGTTGCAAGTAAAAGTAATAAAATGATCTGGTTTACCATACTTTTAATTATAGCCAGAGCATCTTCAAAGTTTTCTTTTAAAGCTCTAGGACTTCTAATATAAGTTAATGGCAAAACTACAACATGCCTTGACTAACATGTTTGTTTCCAAGGTTGTTTACATGTTCATGTAAGGATTTATATTGCATGTTATAATAGTTAAAAATATTTATTAGTGATGATTTAGCATGTATTAAAGAAATTATGTAACTCCATAGAAGTGGGAAATTATTAATTAAAAAAAAATTAAAAACATTCAAATTAAATTACTTTATCATGAAAACATTTTGGCAACAAAATCAATTTTGAAATCAATTTCTTTAATGAAAAAGCAACTATAATCTCATTCAAAGATCAAAGTTATTAATAACACTTTAAAATAAAAAAAAATAATTTGAGATTTAAGCAATTGGATTATAGTAATATCAAATGTTATCTTAGCTTTTATTATTTAGATTTGAAGCAATTAGGTAGATTAATGAAACTAACTATAATCATTTTCAGGTGCGCCAAGCTGTCTATTAACACAAAATATTACAACAAAGTACATCACAACAATTCCGCAGAGCAATAGCAAAAATCAAAACATAATTGTATAACCACAATACATTATGTTCACAATACATTATAATCACTAAATATTAACATGCATGTGTTTTCTATATAATTATGAAAAATTAGACAACAGAACCTAGATATACAACAGTTTTGCTATCCACCTGCTGTCACACCTCTGCTAAGTACACCGCTTGGCTGGCAAGGGTGGCAATCTTTCGCTACACCATTTTATTTTTTATTTTTAAATAAAATTTTAGTTGTAAAGAGAAGCTGACTAGTAATAGTTTAGTTTTACACACACTGCAACACTTGCTTGGCTAGTTTATCAGCCTTTGCATGGTTGGCTATTGATTATAACACTAATAACTATTTAAAATCTATGTAAAACAATAATCATTTATAAATTAAGTTTATTAGTAAATAAAACATTTTTATATAACATTTATTAAATCATTCAAAAAAAGTTTTTTTTTCCAACTTTTAGAATTTTGTATGGAATTTTTGGTTAGATGGTTTATGCAATTTGGCAAAAAATTAAGTTTTGAATAAATAAAAAGTACAATTTAAATATTAATCATTAAAGTCATAATGTATACAACTTATGATTGCAAAAAATTTTTCTGACCTGATTTCTGACAATGAATTTATATAAAATACATACAACTTGTTATGGCAAAGTATGAATTTTTTGAAATTAAGAACATAAGAAAATCATTGTTTTTATAATATTTTTCAACTACCAAACCTTGAATGGAATGTTTATCAATTTTGAAAAACAAACTATTAAATGCCCTAGTTTTTGAACATGCAACATATAGTTGCCCATGAGAGAAACAGAGTTTTTTTTAGATATACACCAAATTTATCAAATATTTTACCTTGACTTATTTGCAAAATGAAGTAAAATATTAACATGTGGCAAACCAAACTTTTAAAATTCAATAACCTTAACATGATTTACATCACTAAATCACCATGCTTGAAAATTATTATTATAAAATATTATTATTATAAAATATATTATAAAATATTTATAGTAATTGTAGTAAAGTCAAGTCTATAATTTGCATAGTCTTAGATATAAATTTTCAGTAATCTTGCGCCATTTGTGGTTGCAAGTAAAAGTAATAAAATGATCTGGTTTACCATACTTTTAATTATAGCCAGAGCATCTTCAAAGTTTTCTTTTAAAGCTCTAGGACTTCTAATATAAGTTAATGGCAAAACTACAACATGCCTTGACTAACATGTTTGTTTCCAAGGTTGTTTACATGTTCATGTAAGGATTTATATTGCATGTTATAATAGTTAAAAATATTTATTAGTGATGATTTAGCATGTATTAAAGAAATTATGTAACTCCATAGAAGTGGGAAATTATTAATTAAAAAAAAATTAAAAACATTCAAATTAAATTACTTTATCATGAAAACATTTTGGCAACGAAATCAATTTTGAAATCAATTTCTTTAATGAAAAAGCAACTATAATCTCATTCAAAGATCAAAGTTATTAATAACACTTTAAAATAAAAAAAAATAATTTGAGATTTAAGCAATTGGATTATAGTAATATCAAATGTTATCTTAGCTTTTATTATTTAGATTTGAAGCAATTAGGTAGATTAATGAAACTAACTATAATCATTTTCAGGTGCGCCAAGCTGTCTATTAACACAAAACATTACAACAAAGTACATCACAACATGTTGTTTACATGTTCATGTAAGGATTTATATTGCTTGCTTCTCAGTTTATTTTGGTTATTTCTGATAAAAGTAAGATTCTACCTTCAATTTTGACACATGTATCAACAGCATATTGCTGAAATATTTTCTTGCCATAAAATATTATTGCAAGAAACTATTTCAGTTTCAAATATATGTTGGGGGAATATCTTGATCTGGCCTAAGATCACCTAAACAATAAAAACTTGACCACATATTATAAAACATGGTGGCCCATGATTCCTAGGTTGAACCACATTAGCTGTAAATGAAGCAAAAGAAAGATACACATTTCGAATATATTAAAAAAATATTCGAATTATGATCTATATAACTCCTTGTATATAAATCTTATAAAGCCTATGGAAGTGGTGAAAGTGGAGGCAAAACTACCTTTCCATTATGGCAACATAGAAAGTGAGTTTTATCAAGAAACTTTTTAGCGCCACAATGCTGATAGATCTGGTTCAATTCTCCTTGAAATATATGATCTGAAATATTATTACTTCTTGTTATACAGTGCATTCTTCCTCGTCTAGCTGCATTTCATACATTTTGTTGATTTCATGATTATTTCTTCTCGCCTATTTCTTTTGACTTGTTGGCAGTTATTATTAACTTGCCTAAACACACTATCCTCATTAGGGGTTCAAATTAATTTCTGCTTTCCGAGCAGCATTTCTTATATTTTCTCGTGTTACTCGTCATTCAATTAAGTCTCATCCTTTTTCTGTTACTGTTCCTAAGTGCTCCAAAAACTCTTATTCGTCTAGTTTTTTTCCTCGAACATCAGTTCTTTGGAATTCGCTTCCTTCATCTTGCTTTCCTGATTCATATAATTTGCAATCTTTTAAGTTGTCTGTCAATCGTTATCTTGCTCTACAATCTTCATCTTTTCTCTTCCAGTAACTTCCAACACTAATTAGTGGTTGCTTGCAGCCTTGTTGGAAGCGAAGATAATTGAAAAAAAAAAAAAAAAAAACATTTTGTAGATGATTAATTTCATCTTGCTTTGCTCCATCTCTTTCATTTCTATGATGGTTATTATTAACTCGCCTTACCACATTATCCTCATAATGAGGATGACATTAGGGTTTAAATTAATTTCTGCTTGCTAAGCAGCATTTCTTACATTTTGAAAACAATTTAATTTTAAAAATGATTATTTTTAAGTTGTCTGTTAACATTTACACTAACAACTTCTTCAAACCCCAATATCATTAATTTAAATTTCACTATTATTATGAAGATAATAATAATAAGTGAAGAAAAGACAAAAGTAAGTAATTTAAATAAATCTGTTATTAAAAAAAAATTAAAAAGATAAAACTTAATTAAATTATATTCTCTAGTTAAAAAAAACAGCAACATAATTTTAACATAACTCTTAGATGCTTAAAAAAAACAGCAACATAACTTTAACATAACTCTTAGATACTTAATAAATGGGAAGGGAAGTATATTAATTTTTGAATTTTTTTTATTATTTTTACCTATCTCTACAATTTAACTCATCAGTAAAATTATTAAAAAAAATTAAATCAATTCTTTAAAAGTTTCCAAGATTATTTTAAAATAAAGATTTATTGGAATATCATTTTATAAGTTTATTTACAAATTAGTATGAGAATATATATATATATATATATATATATATATATATATATATATATATATATATATATATATATATATATATATATATATATATAAACTGATTTCACAAATATAAAACAATATTTAATAACATAAATTATTTTTAATTTAACAAAGAATGCAGACAAAAAACTGAAAAAATTATATATATATATCAAAGCATATTTGTATACAAATATAAACAAAGTCAAAATGTATTAAATTAAAAACAGTGTTAAAGAACATGGTTTAGTTAAAGTAGTAATGCCAAAGAATAACTAACAATTGTAACTTAAGTGCATTAATAACTAAGCACATTAAATTATTAACTTAAAAACAATTTATTCACAAAAAAAATTTTTTTAATTATAATTAAATTTAAAAATAGAATTATTATTTTAGATACAAAAAATACAACAATGTTAAAAATAGTTTAGTAAAGTAAAATAAAAATTTAAAGTTATTGATGTTACCTGGTCAAGTTATTGATGTTACCTGTTACCTGATTAGTTCTAGTCAAACTTGATGTCTATAAACTGCCCAAGAGAAAAAACTGATATCGTTATAACTAAGCGTATTATATGAGACTTTTCATAAATAGCCAATTACACAATGGTAGATTCTATTTCAGCCAATTACATTGGTTATAACCATTGGAACCAAGCACATTAAACAGTAACTCCACACATTAAACATTAAATTGGAGTATTAATATTAACAAACAACTAAAAAAATTTTATTATTCTTTTCTATAACAAATGAGCAGCCTCTCTACTGAACAGGCCTATCTACTGAATGGGCTAAGTCGCAAAAATAAAATGTTTGAGTTAATTCCATTTTTAGACTCTATAAACTGAAACCTATCATAAATATAAATATTAGACCAATTAAAAGTTTAGGTGATGAAAAATGTATTTGTAGCTATCTTATAGATAATAAAAGATAAAATAAATTTAAAATATTTTATTGGATACTTTGGTTAAAACTCCACTGCTTTTTAAAATTTCAGATACAAATAATTCTGAATCAATTTTTTTTTGTCAAGTCATTATTTTATGGCAAAAAAGAAACTTTAGATAAAATTAAAGCTTAAGTTTTTTTTTTTTTATAACTAAAAATTTCCAAAACTGAAGAAGACAAATTCCACGAACCATTACAATATTTAGCATTCACTAATTTACACATAAGATTATAATTCGCAAATGAAGGATTCAGTGCATGCTTCTAGATTCTCAAAAAAAAATGTCCTTTTTTAGCATTAGGAAGTGAACCAGCAAATAAAGGAGAGAATTTTTAAAAAGCCTAATATTTCTAAAAACATGCCTTTTATTATTTTGCTAGAAATCTATACGGCCAGATTAAAAAAATTAAAAATATATATCCAACCAGTGCGGAACGTGCAATAAAAGTGATACAGGAACTGTATTCAATCTGCAAAAAAAAAAAAATGACAAATTGCAGTCTAGATTTATTTTTAGTGATAGTCAGTGATGTACTCATGTATATTAATCATAACTATAGACTATACGAAACATATGATCTAGTAACTGTAATGGTTTGTGACTAGACATGTAGTTATTAAACAATGTATATTGTTAACTTATAACATGCAATTTGATATTTTGATTTGGGGATAAATTTTTTTCAAAAGTAATTGAAATTATTTGTTTCTTTGGTTTTGAGTAATAATTTATCACGCTGACTTACAGGAAAATGACTTAGTAAAAAAGTTATATATATAAATATATATATATATATATATATATATATATATATATATATATATATATATATATATATATATATATATATATATACAGTGGATAAAACGACTAATTAATTATTACAAAAACTTTTGTTTTTGTAATAATTAATTAGTCGTTTTTTTTAAGAATTACAAAAACCTTTGTTTTTACGAGTTATTAATTAGTCGTTTTTTTTAAGAATTACAAAAACCTTTGTTTTTACGAGTTGTGTATGCTGTTACTTAGTTATTACTTAAATTTATAAATAATTTTTAATTCTTTTTCTAATTTCTTTTAAATTTATTTAAAATTTTAATTTTTTTTAAGGATTTTATCATGAGCAGAGTCGTTTTGACAGGGATTCGTATGTAAAAATTTACACAGACAGAGTGATACCATGTAAGAGTTTTTAATTTCACCTTATAATTATACATATTTTTTAGTATATATTTATACATTATCTGAATACTATTTATGAACATTATAAATTCTATTTATAAACATTATAAATATTATTTATGAACATTATTTATTATACGTTATCTGAATTTTTTTAATAACAGTAAGACTATAAAAAAATAGTAGTGAAACTGTTAAAAAAAGGTAAATAAAAAGCAAAAAAGAAAAATGAAAAAAACATTTTATTATTGAGAAAGTCAAACAAGCAATATCAGGTAACAAGTTTGTTTTATATTTTGAATATTTAGCTTAATAAGATTTCAAATTGTACCCATTGTACCTGAATTTTTGTGTTACTATTTTAAGTTTATCATTTGTCAACTGGGTTGGATATTTTGCAACACATAGCTTTTAATCAGTTTATGCTTCCCAAAACCTCAAAAAAGTCATTAATATTTGCTTGCACAATAAAAGTAAGTAATACAACAGGTGTATTGAACAGCATTGTGCGTTCTAAGCAACATAATGGGTTCCTGGCTTTAAGCTGGGTTCTTTCTTCAATCAGATAATTGCTTGATAAAAAAACTGAATAGATTAAACAAGAAATATTTGAATTTGAAAAAAACTTCATAGCACATCATTCCACACCAGTTGAAAGTGAGCGAAAGCATGACGGGACCATACTAGATGACAAAACGGTGCATTACACCATCACGCCTGTACACATCAACAGTCTTCAAAATCAGTATGTAAAATATTTGTTCTTTGTTACATGTGATCTACACACAGAGTGACTAGAGTGTTAGTTGGTTCTCCCCCTGCCCCCGGAGCATTTAACTTCATTCTTCACCTTCACAAAAGTCTTGTCACTCATTTTATATTTTCTTATGATTTTTATTTTTTGTTCAATGACACCATCTTCTAACTGTTTTTGTTATCACATCTCTTAGGTCTTTGAAGCTGGGCGGCTCTGTTGGTCTATTTTTGTGATCATTGTTTCGCATAAACAAAAAATTTATTCTTTGCGGCTGGTGAGCCCAGACTTTTTCCAATGTACACCACAACAACAAAACGGACATTAGGTTATCCCGCTGGATGTGGTCTTTACATTAATTTATGTTTTTTACCTAAATGACATCATCTTCAATCTGTTTTTATTTTCACATCTCCTAGGTCTACGCAACTGGACCTCTCCATTGGTCACTTTTTGTGATCATTGTGTCGCATAAGCAAAAAAATTTATTCTTTGTGGCTGGTGGGCCCCAAATTTTTCCAAAGTACACCACAATGACAAAATGGACATTAGGTTATCCCGCTGGATGTGGTTACGGCGCTCAATAACCTAATGACTACGCTGACACTCACACACACGTTCAGTCGGAAACTCCACAATGCACATCGGACCAGCACTCACTGACTATGTGCTCAGATCTGAAATCTCACTTCATAGCACATTATTCCACACCAGCACAGGGCAGTAGCTCTTTTGGCTAAGAGTGATGGCTTGTGGCCTATGGTTACTAATGTGTGTAGGTCTTATGTCTGGCTCTGATGTGCTAGCCCATAAGCGTAAGAAATGAGTGTGTTTAGTTTTCTATTCATCCGATTTGAAAATGAACGGAAACATAACGAGACCATACTAGACGACAAAACAGTACGTACTAATGCACTACACCATCACACCTGTAGACATCAACAGTCTTTAAAATCAGTATATCAAATATTTGTTCTTTCTTACATATGATCTACACACAGAATGACTAGAGTGTTAGTTGGTTTTCCCCCTGCCCCCAAGCATTTAACTTCGTTCTTCACCTTCGCAAAAGTCTTATCACTCATTTTATATTTTCTTATGATTTTTATTTTTTATTTGATGACACCATCCTCTAACTGTTTTTATTATCACATCTCTCAGGTCTACGAAACTGGACGGCTCTGTTGGTCACTTTTTGCGATCATTGTGTCGCCATAAACAAAAAATTTGAAAAAAAAACATCTACAGGGTGCATGTTTTTTTAGAGTTAAAAAAGCAAAAAGGCTTTAGAAAGGAACTAGAAAATATTTGTTGTAGTAGATTACTTAAAAAACTGGTAAAGGGTAAAAATAGATCAGACTTTAAAAAGAAAGAATTTTTATACAATCAAGAACACAGAAAGTTATTTGTAGAAAAGATGAAAAGTAAGATGGTAATCCACTTTAAAACATTTTTCTTTCTGAATTTAAAAACTTTAAACACCTTTCTCACCTTACTCCACTTTTTCATTGGTTTTTATTTTTGGTTCATTAATTTTTACTAACTTTTTTTTAATCACTTTTTTTTTTATCGTTCTTTTTTTTTATTTGTTGCCAATTTGATGGATCTTTGATGAAGAAAATAAAAAAGCTTTTTATTAAGAAATAAAAAACATTGATAATAATAAATAATAGATTAATAATAAATAATTAAATATTATTTAAACAATAATGTAATGCATGTTTTTTAAATTTTGAACAATGCTAAGAAAAGAAAAGCATTTAGAAAAGTCACTAAAAAATCAATGGAAATAAGTTCTGAGACGGAGTCAGGACACCAACGAAGGCTCACCTTTTGACTCTAATTTGGTATTCTATGGAGTCTAATAAAAAAATTAAAAGCTTAGATTCCAAGAGATATTGCTTCTGGTTTTGTTATCCTACTTTGGAAACATAACCAGATATTTATAATCAAATTTCTGATATTTTTACCAATGTTTTGATAAACTGCTACAATTCTTGATAGTTCTAGGATTGATCCTACAAATGTTGCAGCAGGTCAAGATCTAAAAAGATGAAACAAACAGCTCATGAAATGGCAGTTATTACTAAAAATGATGCCAAACTTAGTATCCCAGTTTCTCCCATGTATTATACATTTTGACAGAAAGACACTTTTTTAAATCATTTATGGAAAAAAATTAAAGCATAACAGGCTAGCTGTTCAGGCAACCATTGATAAACAGTCACATCTTTTCATTGTTAAGCCATTAACTCCCTTTTCTGGAAAAGATCATTCCAATTGTGTAACGAAACTTCTAAAAGAGTGCAATCTTAAATCAAAAATTGGATTACTTTGTTTTGTTACAACATCAAGAAATACATAAAGGATCTTTAATAAGAATATCTACTGCACTAAATAAAGTCTAATTCTTTTAACAGACTTCTGTGAAGCTGTGACAGATGTTAAGAATCACACACTTCTGTAAAGCTGTGACAGATGAACAACCTAAGCCTCCTGATAATTCTTTGTTTTATCATTTAAAAAACTTGTTTGAGCGACCTAATTTTGTGTACAACCAACTATTTTACTTAAATTTGGGAAGAAGTTAAAAGTTTTTGGAAAAGCTGTTACAGAATATCTTTTATATTGTAGATCTTTTTTATTAGGAAATAATATTGTCAGAGAAGATAGGAAATAACTAGCAAACCTAGTTGTCATTTTTCTCCTTCCATCATTATATTTTGAATAACAGGAGCAGTTCATCATGCACGATTTCTAGGAAAATTGATTGAAAAATGCTAATTATTTTAACCCAAATTAGTTTTCTTCAAAATAACAGAAAATATATTAGGTTGATAACTGAACTTGTAATTAGCTTTTATGCAAAGTGGTACTTGCAATCAAATGACACAATCAAAACTCCTTTTATGGGCATAACTGTTAATCATCAATGCATCGGTATAAAACAGTATGTGCAGAACCATTGATGCTGGGTTAAATTCTTTATTCAAACATACATGACATCTAGACTCAACTCTAAATCCTTTAGCCTTGCTGGATTATAGTGTTGTGCTCGAAGAATAGAAAAAAATTACTACTGCAATATCATTTCCAAAACCAAAGTTACTCCAAAACAAAAAAAATAAGCAGATATTAAAAAAAATATTTAGTTAAACATTCGTCAGCAATCTCCTAGTTTAACTCTTTTGGTGATGAATTCTCCTTGTTTTGATGTGATTAGAATAGAAGAACAATAAATTGAGGATTGGCTAATCTTGCTACCTCAGTATTGCCACATGCAATCATTTTAGAGATCTTTGCTAAATTTTGCAAAAAGTTTTCGTTTGTGTAAATGACCACAGGAAGAGGGCAATCGGAGTAACACAACAGTTTGTTCATCGATACAAAGATGAGGAAGAAAAACAAATTAGAATTGCTGTGGACAAAGTTTATTCAATTCTTAAAGCCTTAGACAGTGAATTGAAATCAACTAAAAAGATCCTAATATTAGGTAAAAAAAGAATTGCAGATGGATTACTTAACATGTACTCCAAAAATACAGAAGATAAATCAAATCATTTATCAAAACAAGAATAACAAAAACAAGATTTAAACTTTAATAAAAATGTTAAAAAGTTTTACTTAATAATAAAAGTGTTTTTTACTGTAAAAGTTTTAAGA